AGGCATTAGGGCTCCATACACGCAATATTAGGCAAGCACAGACACCATTAGCTCTCTGCAAACTCCTAATCACTCAGTGGGGGCTCAGCACCTTCTGTACTGCATCTGACGTTGCTGTCCAAGCAACTTTCCTGCAGAATTTTTTTTAACACAGTCCACACTTCTAAGTAACCAAACATTCAGGCTACTATGTCCAGCTGGCGTTCAGCTGTGTAAGACCCCTCCTCCTCCTCTCTCTCTGCACAGCAAAAGACAGAGAACAGGGTTCAAGCAAACAGACATGCAACTGATCATGTGTCATAAAACGTGTTGTGGGAGCGAGGTAGCCTTTTGTCCTTCACCTCCTCTTCCTGGTATCCTACAGGCAACATGTTCAGACCATAGTGCATATGACAGAGGCTTGAGAACAAAGTCCACTTTCACAGAGATTACTGTTATCTACTATACACGACAATGTAAATATACAACAGAGGCCATGATGACAGTCAATGTGCGAATTCCCAAACAAAACTTTAAAAAAGTAGCTGACAGAGACATTGAGGATTATGAGACAGTGATAAGAGAAGAGCCAGTAAAGAGCTTATGGAGACGACATGAGAACAACGCTGCGCTTCCAGGCCCCTCCTCCGAAACAGACGCCAGTCTCGTGATTGATAAGAAGTTGCAAAGCAGAAGAATACATGTTCGCAGCCCACGCCTTGTGAAATGCACAGAGACATCAGCCGCATCTGTCCTGACCCTGTCCACACACACACACACACACACACACTCACTCACTGGGACTGACTGACATTTCAGGCCGGAGCTGGGAGAGAAAACGTGTCAATCAAAGCATCTTAAGACACGAGATATTTCTGTCTACAGCTCGATGCCATGACGCACAAACCTGTTAAAAACAAGACAAACACACGAGGTGCGGGCAAAGACAGCAGAACTCTTTGTTGTGGTTACCTGTTGCTATTGGGCCCTCTGGTTTTCTGCTTATTATCATCATGATTGCAGTTAATATGTGATGCCAGCATCCGAAGTGAAGAAAAAGTCCAGAGTTTAAAAAAAAGTGGGATAGTTCAAACTAGAGTAGCAAACTTAGCTAAGAGCATTTACAGCTTCAACGTGTTTGCTAACGAGAGGAGCCCAGTGGCTCTGAGCTGCGGTTTGGATTGAGCTCCTCTCCTTTGTTTGGCTTTGTGTGTAAATGTATCCTGGATTTACACAAACCACAGGGTTCAGTGTGCTACTCTCACAGTATTCCCGGCTGGCATCAGCCTCGACTTCGGTTTGAAAAACTTGAGCAGGCGGCGGTGGGGGTGGGGGTCGTTTCCCTCTGCTTAGCTAGCCAGCTAGCTCGCACAGCCACAAAAACACTGTTCCGCCGGAGAGCCGCTCCCTCTGTTAAAAATAGTCTGAGTCCAAATGTTACAACTCGGCGCTCTGACCCGTGTGCCCCTCGCCTTTCTCTGTCGGTGCAGTGGCTCGGTCCAGTGCACCATTCCCGTGCTTTAATCCCGGTTAGCAAAGGGCGATGCTACCACTCGGCGAAACCCCCCACAGGAAGGCGTCCTCCTTCGGGACAGCTCGGGGGCTGCTTCGCTCGTCTGTCGGGGATGGCTAGCCAAAACAGGCCAGCTCGCTAGCTGCGCTGGAGCCCCATGATGAGTGCAGGAGCCGCCGGAGCATCCCACTGTCAGGAAAGCTTCCACTGGAGTCAGAGCAACAAAGCGACGGTGTCGAATCTCTCCGGTGACCGCAGGACCGTCTTATTATCACGGCGATGTGTTGTTGCTAAGGGCGTCTTCTTCTCCGAGCCTGTGGTCCCCAGCTCAGAGCAGGGAGGGAGCGGGGCGGGGCTTAGCCGAGGAGCGCCCCACTGCGGCCAAGTGGAGATCTGCAGCCAGCGTGCAGACTAATCATGAACCATTAATGACACAAGTAATCACAACTTATATATATAATATGTGAGTGTGTGTGTGTGGGAGCTGGTGGATAGATAGATAGATAGATAGATAGATAGATAGATAGATAGATAGGTGTGTGTGTGTGTGTGTGTGTGTGTGTGTGTGCTCATTTAACATGTTTGTATTTTTCACGTTACAAAGATTGACATTAAGGAGGCTTGTTAGATATGAAACAATTGTTCAACTAATTAAGCAGTGGATCAAAATTCATCTATTTTGATTGTGGCTTAACTGTTGAGGTAGTTTTCAAAGTAAACAATCACTCCCTTCTATTACATACTGTCATCGCTGTCATTTTAAATTGAATATTTCAGGGCTTTGGACTGCTGATCAGTCCTTTTCAAAGGTGAAGATGGACATCTCTTTATTTATTTTGTGACATTTTATAAATCATAGAAAGAAGTGATTCATTAAGAAGATAATCGACAGATGAAGTGATCATGCAAACAGCCGCTTGAACGCTAAGAAGACTTCTCCTCAGGCCCACACAGCGCTGCCCATTCACTTTGCATACCCTGTTAGGAAAGTTGAACCGTGGATTGAAATTGGAGAGGATATGGAGATCTATACAGGCCCAGATATAGTTAGGGGCAGGGCAGAGGACAGACGAAGTGAGAGCATGCAGGCATGAGGAGGGGAACAGGCTAAATTCAGACGGTGTTACATGCTGGGCAGAGGGTGATGCTAATCTTAGCTCTTTCTCAGAGGTGAGAAGAGGGTGTCTGTCTATATTTGCTGCCATAAATAAGCATACTGACACAGTTTTAGGAGGTCCTCTGGGCAGCAGCCAGCCCTTAAGGCCATGCCGATTATTCTTAGACGGTGGTGTTTAAAGAGAGTTGGGTGACAATGCCTATAAACTGATCTGCTCACTGCACTTTCCTCTCAAAAGGGTTCAAGGTGTAAGTGTGTGGACTCTGATCACAGCCAGTGAATTTACAACCACAGCAAAAGATGGGGCCAGGTGCAGAGCTACCTATAGGTCCCTGCGGGGGTCGGGAGGGTTCTGGCTGTATTTGGTCTGGGAGCATGTGACAGACACTGACACCTATGGGTTCATTGGTCCAGCACCTTATTTTAAATGTCCTTTCAAAACAGAATCAGGTTAAATACATATGTATCAGGGAAGGAAGAGAGAAACTGTGAGCATCATAGTAAAATCGAAATGCTTTATCATGTGAAGCATGCATGAAAACAAAATCTCACGTGTCTACAAGGGTATTTACAGTTTATCATCTGCATGGTGAATATACAGTATAATGCCTCAGTTCAGATTGTGTATTGCCCCCTGCTGGTGTTTTCAAAGCTGTACAAGCAGCATCAGTTAACTTGGGTCTTGTCTGGATAACAACCGAAAAATGGTGGATGTCTTTCTTTCTTCAGAGACACAAACAATATCTCTGATTCCACAAGCACTAAAACCCTGATTTTACTTTCTTCAATGTGATGTCTGTTTTAACAGCTGCTAATAACATTTCTTTTAAAATTAATTTATCGTTTATTACTCATTTCTTGTAAGTACAAACGTTGGTCAACATCTCTGTGAATGTATCAGTGTTCATCAGCTGGTTCATTTTCAGCAGAGGTCCTCTGGTGTTCGGAAACCACTGAACTGATGAAACTTTGCAGCTATTCTAACTAGCACAAATAAACCCTAATGGTGGGAGTCTGTGGGTTCCGAGCAGCTCCTTTCTAGAACTGCACTCCTCAGAGACATGTTGTGCCTTGAATCTACCCCTACTAGTTGGGGGGTCACAGCCTAGAATGCTCCTATTATCAGGGGCCACCCAATACTTCACCTACCACATGTGCTCCAGTTGTTTTTTTCAGCCCCCCGGACATCTCCATTTTCTCTTTCTTTTAGATAGATAGATATATGTACTTTATTTTTAACAAAGAGTAATGAACAAAAAGCTAAATACAAGACACGACTAAAGAGACGGTCCAAAATCATAAAAGATATACATATGTGTGTATGTGTGTGTATATATCTATATTGCATCCACAACCTCTCTATTATCAATGATGTGAGTACAAACACAAGCATTTGAAAACATACTGTGTTCTCTCTCTCTGTGTGTATTAATAAAGAGTACTGCAATAAAGGGATGACCTTTTTTATTTCATTTTGTTATTCTGTACAGTTCTACTGATATATTTATACACACTTCTTCAAATAAAACAAAATTAATTGCAAAAAAGCTTTAAGTCCCAACATCATACACACAAAGTTTATCATGTGGATGGTGTGAAATGAAATAAATAACACACGCACGCACGCACGCACGCACGCACGCACACACACACACACACACACACACACACACACACACACACACACACACACACAGGATTTGTTGACAGACACACATGTTAAGGAGCTAGGGGGACAGAGGGAAAATATACAACACCGTCCAACAAACATGCAAAACCACCCACACACACACACACACTCAGGCACCTGTGTGCTGAAACACACCTTATGCACAGGAGGGATAACACATGAAACAAAAGGCACTGCCAGCAGAACAGCTTGGGCTTTGGGTGGTGATGTTTAACAGGGTCTAGGTTCACTGAGAAGCATGTGCTTATGGACAACGGGCCTCATTTATCAGTATGAACCAGGATGTGTGAATGTTTTCTGTAAATAATTTGTTAAATGCATGAATTTTATGATCCATGCATAACAAATACATTTTCCAAAACACATCTAGTTGTAATGTCTGATAGTAAATGTGCACTAACTGAGCTATATGTTTTAATACTTGGTAAGTGAGGCCCAATTACGGAGTGCTGATGAAACACAGACACTAATCAGAAAACAGAATTCACATTTTCCTCACTGCCCTAGAAGAGCAAACACACACACCTACACACACAGACACACCAGTTGGAATGATACCAAAAGAATATTTATATCTGTAATAACAACAAAGTTAAACCTTGTCACTCTTTTTCCAGTGTCTACATAATCCATATGCATTGCAAACACATTGTTGGTACATCATAGCCATTATTATGATTTTTATAGAATTTTATAGGTTGTTTTTTTTGGGGTGGAAGGTGGGAAGATAAAAAGAAAAGGAAAAACAGAAATGCATGCCCAGCCCCAGAGTTGTGGGCCATTCAGTGACCTGTATCAACATGTGCAAAACAGAAGCGGGTTTCATTTCAACATACACTAACTTTAATCAATAAACTTCCAAATGTCTCTGTTCCCTTTAAAATTCTCTCAATAGATCTGTCCCTCTAAACTTTGGTGTAAAAAAAATCATCTCACATTCAAATACAACCCATATCCCATAGTGTTGAATGCAAAGTGTAAAATCTGGAAATTGTCTTCTCCCTGTATTTGCAGGTGGAGTTCATGCAAGGTGGGTTAGATCAAGAATCAGACAGGGAAAATGAAGTCACAGTTTATCTTCCAAGAAGAGGTTAGGATCATGTGCCTGTTTGAAGGAGCGAGGAGAAAGGTGGTAACTGAGTGTGACTGAAGATCTCTCTGTCGAGTGAAGCACCCGACAGCCTCTTCATACACAGGTCCTTCACGTGTCATTTAACTGAACACATAAGAACTGAAGAACAGTTGTGTAGGGAAGAGGCTTCTCTTTCCTGCTGTTTTCCCTTTGCTCTACACACGCTCCCTGAGAGAATGGATCTCACTTTCTTATCCTTCCATTCCTTCTTGTTCTAAGCCTTGAAAACAAACACAGCTGTCTGATTCCTTCCCTTTGTTTAAGGTGAAGCACTGGTAGCCAGAACCTAATCTCTATAAACAGATTCTACATGTGAATATGCAGAATCCGTGGGCGAGGGACAAGATTTTGGGTCTGGAAGCCATTTGGTCTCTGTCTCTAGTTTGACCAATCACATTTGATCAGGCTTTCATTGCCCACAGTCCATGTGACGAGCAAAAGAGCGGAAGACACTGACCGAAATGTGTCGGCGCTCTGCTTTTTAATTTATAATAGAGATCAGCTTAAATGTATCACTGTTTGTGTTTTGTGAGCAGAAACTTTCGATGTGTGATAAAAGAAAATTGTTGGACTGTAAACAGTGTTCAGTGAACAGAAGACGGCCCCTTGGCCCAAATATCTGCTGTTTACACCAGAAGGCCCAAAATATTGTCCGTTGCCCCCAGAAGCTAAGAGCGGTCACACATGCAAATGTTTCAGTGGCGAATATTCCATTTGCTTTCAATAGGTGAATAAAACATTTGCTTCCTGTGGTGAATCAGATTTGCTTCACCACAGGAAGCAAATCTGATAAGTGTGACTTTGCATGGAGTTAAACTTTAGTGAACTTTGAGCCGCGATGTTCACATTATGTGCGTATGTGTAACCAGGCCTTAATTCATCACTCATCATTCGATAGTCAATGGGCTCCTTGGCAAGCACTTCACCGTAAACACCTCCCTCACAAATTCACACATATTCCAATAAAACATCCTGTGAGAACCATATTCACACCAGCTCTGATAAAAAAGAGAACCACACAGTATGATTGTCCTTCCATCCCACAGAGATGCAGCAAAAAGTAATCATGCCTTCTGTTTCTATTCTAACTATGTGCAGAGGGGATGAGCTGAGAGACTCATGCATAAGTAACACTTGCAGTAGCAGCAGCAGCAGCAGTAGCACAAGGAGATGGAGTCTTGAAAAACGCCATTGATTCACATCAGTCCCAAATGAAATCTCAAGTCTCACACACAGAAAGTGTTTGGATCTTTCTGTTTGTGTCCTTGGCAATGAAAACACTACACCTCCGACCAGCGAGCAGACCACACACCCTGTAGAGTCTCACGTTGCTGTCAACCCCCGATTCTCTCCTCAGGGAGTGGATGGTGCTTGTGGGGGTGGGGGTGGGGGGATGTATACGTCCTGAGAAAGTGTGCACATCTGTGTGTGTGTGTGTGTGTGTGTGTGGATGTACTGTGTGTTTATGTATCTGTGGGGGGGACACAAGTTCAGCTCTGGCTCCAGTCTCTGAATAGACGGCTGCGTCAGTCTCTCCCTGAATTGAGGTCATAAGGTAACAGGTGAGGGGGTCAGGGGTCATGTTGTTGTAGGGCCTTTAGTAGTTTCTGTTGGTACATGGCATATTTTTGCCTCACTGCCCGCACGCGGTCCGCCTCCTCTTTCTCCAAGAATACCAGGAAGTTTTGTAGCTCAGGGACAGAGAACGCATGCCACTGTTGGAGAATATGAGAGAAACAGATTAATATACTTTTGTCTCGTTATAACTTTTGCCTGTTTGCGTATGTTTCTGTGCTTTGTCACCTCCACGTCTCCAGTCTCATTTTCCTTCAGGACAAAGCTGAGTTGCTCTGGTTTAGGCCCGGCAACCAACCTCAGAAAAAGAGGATGCTCACACAGAGAAAGCTTCTGGAAGAGATCTGCACACACGGAAAAAAAAAGAAATTATTCAATGCTGTCGCTTTATATTCTGCAGATGAGCAGGTGATTGTTTTCCTCACCCTGTCCGTCGCGGTGCGTCTGCCTGTACAATGCAAATTTGCTGGGATTGTCCAGCACCATGAACTTCTTCAGCAAGCCCTGGATGACCTCTCTGGTGGTGTGCAGAGAGCTGATGTGGATCTGCTTCACACAGTCGCATGGTAGGTAGAAGGATGTTCTCTTTTCACTCTGCCCGCAGTCCGTCCCCTTTTTGTCCTCAGACGTCGCTAGATCAGTACCGGCTGTCTGACATGGAGCTCCCTCTGAACCCTCTGCCTCCAAAGCAAGGACTGTGACTGGTCGACTGAGCCTCATGTTGACCTTAATGAAACCTGTGTAGGATCCATCTGAAGCCTGGAACACACACACAGAGAAAGAGGGAGATGGTAAGAGAGGGGATGCACGTTTCAGGATCGATATGTGAACTACAGCAGGACTGAAAAGAAGTACTGGTATTTACTTTGAGAGTTAGATGGGGCATTTTGTGAGCGAAGTGTGATAGAAAAAGGGCTGCACATAGAAGTGTTGTATGAATGTGCATGTGAATGGGTGAATGGGACACAGCCGGCAGCTAGTTAGCTATCTTAGCATAAGACTGGAAACTGCTAGCCTGGCTTAACAAATATTGTCCATGACATCATGCATCTTACATGGTTATTTCATTGCACCACATAAATTCAAACTCATATCTTACCTTTTTCATTTTTGCAATAACTTATTGTGTGACCGCACGCTACATTATTTCCAAGCTATATTTCCTGTTTCTATTGTATAATGTAAGAAAGAGAGGAAGCTCTAAGAACCCAGGTTCATTGTTGCTTTGACATTATACAATACATAAACACCAGCTTCAGAACTCACCAGGCTCATGCCATTTTCATTGACTTGAGCGTTATACTCTTCTATCCTGGTCCGCACCTCTTCCGCAGACAGGTCTTTCGTCCCTCCCTCCTCTTCCTCCTTCGTCTCATTCTGCTGTAACATGAGAGGAAGAAGAGAACATGTCAGCACTGAAGGATCAGAGTTTGAGTAGTATGATTGCTTTATTTTTTATCATCAGCAGATGGTGCTACTTCCCCCACCACAAGTCATGCAGCAAACAAATGGTGTTTCTCATGTTGCTCAAGTTAATGAATCTGGAAACAGGAAACACTTTGAACCCCTTTAAAGAAACCTCACTAACTGATTTGCAGATATATACGCTGCGTTATGTTCTATAGAAAACCAGACTATACAGCATCCATGCTGGTTGCTGCACCATGTTGTCTCTCTTGTTCTCAACTACTTTCCCATCCTCCATCTTTGCCATTCTCAGAATACGAGGCCGCTGCCCTGACTGTAGCTGAGGAGGATTCTTCTTCCCTCAACTCTGCAGCTCTGTACGGGGGCAGGAAATGCTGTGAATGGAGCTAACTCCACATTCAGCATTATTCACAATATTGACAGCATTGCATCCCTTTCAAACATGTTGAAACATTTCCTGCCCTGAGTAGGAATGAGAGAAAAAGAGAAAGAGAGGGAGAGAGGGAGGCAGCAATTAAATGAGGATGAGTGGGAGGGAGTCAAAGAGGGGGAGGCAGCAGAGGAAAAGAGTAAGGGGTAAGGAGTGATGAAAGAGCGGCTGCTGAGCCAGCCTTAGCAACACAGAGTTTGACGAGGTTATTTATAGTACAGTGGGATGCACGGTCTCTATCTCACAATAGCTTTTTTTTCCTCCCTTCTCCTGTTCGTTTGCATTTTCTGGGGCAGAAAGATAGAGAGAGAGAAAGATAGAGAGAGTGAATGGAGGGCAGGGATGGTTCCTGAAGGGGAGTCCTCAGGTTGTGTGATGAAGTCACTCTTTCATTCAACACAGATGCAGTGTGTGTGAGTCTGTGTGTGTGCACTTAAACGTTGTGGCCACACAGAGCACAAGCGTAGCTGAGTTCACTCAGGTGGACATCCAGTAAAGAGGAGATAACATCGTAACATTTAGAATTCAGAGCTGCCGTTTGGAGAAAGACAGCAACAGGGGGATTTTTTATTTTTCTTTGCCACATCTCTCAGCCTAGTTGTTGCCGTGTTTATCTCTCTTCAGCACATCAGCCAATCATCTGTGTGGTTGTGTTCTGACTATCAAGGTGAAACAGAAGTGACAGATGCCGATGGTCACCGCATGTCACAAATAATTAGGACAAGAGCAAATATTAATATGACTGGTCGTGACTGGTTCTTTTCACAAAGAGTCACTGACTGTACCAGAGTTGATCTTATCACAATAACATGAAAACCTGCCCAAACGTACAATATGTAACTGTCATGGCATTGTGAAGCAGTGTGGGATCTACCTGTGGCGACTCAGGTGCAAATCATGTTCATGGATGAGGTTATGTATCAAAGTGTTAGCGGACTGGTTAACCAGTTGTCAGTGCATGGGTTTTAACTTCGTCATACATTGTTTGCCCCAGGAGGTTGGATGAGGTGGACAAACTCAAGGGTAAAGCCGATGTAATGCAATTAAAAGACGACAAATAGGACACAGCTTGTTTCCTTAAATAAATTTGGGGATTTCTCTGGGTTTGAACATCGTTGTAATTGGAAATTAAGGAATATTACATACATCTTAATGAAAATACTGGATAACACAACACATGTGACTGGTACAATGTGGGGTGGAGAAAAGAACCTGAGGTATGTGTTGGAGCTGATATGTGATTACATTTCCTCCGAGTCTAAATCAACAAAGTGAAAAGAACACTGCAGGAATTCCTGTGTTTGTATACAAGTTTCAAAATGTATCAGAGGCAGTGCCCCCCTCTCTGCATACCAGTGAGAGTGGTGAGAGGGACAAAAGAGCGGGACAATAGAGCATTTACAGTTCCACAAAGTCCTGAGACACTGCCCTGACCGGACCTGGACAGAGCCAATGACCGGTCGGACAGAAACAGAGAGATGTTTTAAGCTGCTGCATGTGACATGTAACTCCTTCACATTCCCTCCAGCAGATCATCAGTTCCCATGTTCTCTTTTAACTCAGTATAGACTGAGTGATACAGCAACTATCAGTATGCAACTTTATTAATCTTAAAATATGTAATTACTGCTCCAAATTCACAAAACAGTGAATATTTGGGTTTTTTGTGTTCAGAGATCAGACTTTACTATTTTTATAATGTTACTTTACTTTAAAATACACAGATCTGTAAGTGTAGCCACTGTCTGCTTTGCCACTTAACTTTATATATTATATTACAGGTGACAGAGACAAGACCATGCCATGTTTTCCTTTTAATGTGATTCAGATAAGATACAAGGCAGCTTAAACGTGTGAGATATCTAGGGCTGTTACATAAGGGACACACACACACGGATGTGCCATGTAGATACACCCTCAGGGTGACACTGGTCAGTTTTGATGCTCTCACTCTGATGAGATCAGACAGCAGAGGTCATACGACTGCTTGAATTTTTGCTGCAAAGAAGTCAGTGTTAAAAACCCTGTGTTGGTGTGTGGGTGTGTGTGTGTTGATTGATATCATGATCTTCAGGAAACACTAGACTCTGGGCTCTATTACCACTGGCCTCTAAGTCTGAGGACATAATGATGATGAGCCCGGCACGAAATGAAGTAACAACAATCAAATAATTAAAGCGAAAGAAATGTGGACAGAATGCAACAATCATAAATCAACATGCATACGACACACTCACACACACACACACACACACACACAGACTCAACACATATGCACATACGCTCATAACGTGTGCAAGCGTGACGCCTTTACTGTGTCAAGTGTCGAGAAGGAGAATCACAATCCAGAACACACACTGATTCCATTTCACAGCTCAGTTCTGAGCCAGCAGTACACACACACACACACACACACACACACA